TATGCTTTGATTAACTTTCCTCATCAGCTGAATGAATTTAAGAATTTAAAATATTTCCACTCTTCTTCAGACTTTATTAAATGAAATACTGCAGCACAGCCCCATATGCATAACACATTTATTTTTTTCAATTATTAGAAGTTGCTTTTGTACATTAGGAAATTTCCTAATTGTAATTTTTCCATTTTTTCAGGATGATGAAGTATATGTAGACACTTTCAGTGACTGATTGTTTTTTTTCATAATGTGCTAAAGGACTTTCATAATATATCTCAAATTTAGGTTGAGTCTGATAATGTGTTGATGTTTGGCATGACAGATTAAGTGAAAGAATTTAGAGACTTTTGTTACAGTTTAATTTTTATCTAGAACTGTATGATAGTGAATAGGAAAAAAAAGATGGAAGCGGACTTCATTGAAGGATCTACATTAACTTTCAGCTACTTCGTATCACATTCAAATGTTGACATACAAAGACAAAATGACTTGGAAAATCTCAGGAATTCCTCAAGAGTGGAGTGTTTATACAACACTTGATATTTGTATGTTTGGGTGAATGCTGGAGGTTCACTATCAAGCTGTTGCTGTGAGATGTTCCCATCCACCATAAAGTTTTATTGCTTACACTCCAATCAGTTATCTATGGGAAACCAAGGAGTGCTGTCTTCTGGCCAGCAAATGATTGAAGTACAAGCCTGTATTGGGAGCATCTCAGACTCAAGCTGACATACCTTAGCATATTTTACCCAGCACCAGTCACCATGCACCTAGAAGCATAGTTGTTGAAGAATTCTGTAGTCAATGGCAACTTAGTCCACATAAGACTGTGAACCTCTCTCTGCAGGGGCCTTTTAGTAATAGTTCAAAATGAAGTCTAAAGTTAATTGGGCCCTAATTTCTCTCCGTGCCTTTCTTTGGGCACTGAATTTACGGCTAACTTGCTTAAAATTGGTTTGTCTTCCTTTCTTTTCTGTGAAGATCAGTAATGGTATTGTTGGTAGAGGGTGCTGAAGCAAGTGAATGGATTTAATTTATGTCAGGCTTTTGACTGTGGAACGTATATTCATCAGAGGAGCTGTGCAGCTACAGCAATGGCAACTGGCATTTAAAACCCAGTACTAGTAAATCACGGTGGATAAAACAAATGTGATGTTTTAGTGCAGCTAAGGAGTGACATTTGACCACTGTATTGTTGCTCTGACATTGAAGTTAGTAATGCGGTTTTGTGCCTTAAAGCAGCCTGTTTCCTTAAGCAGATCATCACAGCTTCTTTTGGCAGAGAATTAGTAAAAGCAAGACACATTTTTGAAAGTTATTTAATTCTATAAAAGTGCACAGTCAAAGTGTGAGTGCTGGCATGGCTGCAGTCAGCAAATTGCAATCTGCCACTCTTTTGTGATTTCCTTTATAAAACAAGACCAAGAGCCAGCAATGAAAATCAGCACCTCCTGGTTCAGTAATGGAGCAATTGAGTTCCCAAGAACATCTTTTCAGGATCTCTGTTCAGGATCTCCATCTGGACAATCTCCAATAGGTGAGGAGAGAAATGCTCCTCCTGGACCTGAGGTTGCTGCAGTGTTCAGCAAGGTCTCTGCTCCAGCACCACAGCCCAAGAGCACCACAGCCTGAGCTGTGTCAGCAAAGGCAGTGCTGAGGCTCAGCCTTTCCTCCCTTTCCCTCTCCTGTTCTACATTACATTAGCTTTGAGAGGTTGCCAAGGCAGAGAGGTGCCCAGCAAGCAAAAGTATCTGTGTTATTTAGAGCCTCTACAGAGTTTGGTTTCTGTTGAAGTTCAGAATTTGAGGTACCTAAACCCTGCCAAGCCCTGGGATCCCAACAAACGTCCTTCACAGTATTTTACAGGTGTGATCCATATACATTCTCCAATACCATGCATAGGAAGTACCTCAGATATCCTACAAGTATGGTGCAAGGTCACCCACTGGGCCATACCTTTGAAGTCAAAGTAGTACGTTCCTGGTTTTAATTGTAAGATGTCATCAGTCTCTGTTAGGTCTCTCCAAAATACCAAGCCAGATGCATTCTGTACCCTACACCTTCACAATGTGCCTGTCATGATGTGCTTAAAACACCTGCAGGGGATTTTGCATAGAATTGGTGTTTGCTTTGTTCTTTTACAACTTGTGTTCATACACTGAAGAAAACAAATACATACAACTTGGTCTTTCACATGAAAAGACTGCTACTGTAAATCTCTCTTATTTTCTGTGTTCATATTCTCCTTTACCAACATTCCATGGGATGAACCAAAGGGAAATTTCTTCAGATTGCTTAAAACAAGAGTAATCAAGGTTGTATATTTTTTCATGGGCTAAGTCCACTTTAACTAATTGCATCAAACTGTTTTATACATAATTCAAAATTCACCAGGTGTACTTCTAGGGTTTTGAAGAAAGCTTGGTAAGCATTTTCAAGTAAAGAATACTGTCTCATGTGTAGAAACTTTATTCTAGCTTTGGAATAGGTACACCAATAGGAGGTGTTGGAGATACAGAGAGCACGGAGTAGTAGCAGGCTATGCTGAAAGCAGAACTTGCTCAGTTTAAAAGACTTATCACATTGTAACTATGAAACCAATTCAGCATGAGCCTTGCTTGATCCTTGCCTCAGTGAGGTCACAACATGCCCAGCACATCAGCTGGAAGGTTTGACAGCAGTTCCCATTCAATGCTTATATGATCAGCAGCTGAATGAATTTCACTGGGAGGACTCTGAATCCCATCTTCTCTGTCCATAAATCTATGTTGATTTTAGCACTGACTCTTGATTGACTTGTGGGAAAAAAATATGAGCAGTTGTGAAGACTGCTTTCCATGAAAAGGGAGATGGAAAAAAACCTAAAAAATTCCCATGCCACACACCAATTTCCTCTGCAATGGGAAGCACGCGTACCTCCACTTGATTCTTTGATGACATCTTGGAAATATTTGTATGCCTTTTGCTGTCAGCAGACACCAGCAAATAGCATTTCCTAAGACTCTGGCCCACTAACAATTATTATCTTTCAGGCAAGAGCTAGTCAAGCAGGGCTGGACTTTGATTTCCACAGGAAAATTAGAAAGTAAATTCATCTTCATGTGTGGATGTGGATTTGTCCATCCATCTCTAAAAATTTCAGACAAAGTGTGAGTGAGTTCCAGGATTTCTATTGCAGGACGGGAATAAATTCTTCACAGTACTGAAGAGCATATAACACAGGGCATACTATAACACAGGGCGTACTACATGCGTTCAAGGTTCTGTTAGGGTAGGGATGTAGACACCTTACAATAACAAGGGTTTGCAACCAGAGGATGAGATGACTTCTGAATTTTTCTGTAACGCCTTTTTTCCTTTAAAAACAGCCCAGGAAAGCATAGGCAAAGAAAGACATATTGTGTGAGACTGGGACAGCAGAGCTGAGCACTCCAAAGACAGACCATGCACACAGTGGGCTACAAAACTCATCTAATTATGCATACAGTTTATGATACAAGCTTTGTCATTGCAACTCAAGTTCCTTAACTGCAACTGCATCTAAACTTTAGCTCCCAAGTACCACGTAACAAAGGCAGTAGTAGATGATCCTCCAGGGGTTAAACATTAAGTAACAACTGGATGTTTTTCTGGAAGATACGCAGTGCAGCTCAAAAGCTTTTGGAGCTCAAAGGCAGGAATAATTAGAGACATTCATAACATACGTGATGAGGAAAGCCAGATGAGATTACTATAACCATCTCTTTTGGCTATCTGACACAGATGATGTTGTCCTTAGAAAGCCAAAATGTTCTCCACAAGGTTTTGCCTGCAGGATAAAATACCTTCCATTTTTATTCTCAACAGATGCAACCATAAATGTATGATTAAAATAAACAAACAAACAACAACAAAAAGCTGCCCCTTCTGCTCCCATTTTGAGCTCCAAAGCCTTTCAAATGAAGTAAAGTTGATAATTACCTTCAAAAGTGATTTCCTTCAACTGGATGAAGCAAGCAAATAATTTCAAGTTGAGTAATTTTAATACTACTATTTCAAGCTCCTTGCCTTACGCAGAATGCCGTCCTGCCTTTGATACAGATGTATGCTGACATGTACTAATGGGTACCAGTTTAATGAGGAATAAGTCAGGAATCAGACAACTACAGCATGCCAGCTCCTTCAGTACTTCTCTAAGAGAAGCTTCATTGGTAGATTTTCCAATTTTAGCTCTCTTGCTTAGTCCATTTGGACAGTAATTCTGCATATAGCCATTACAATTTTGAAATACAGCACAGATTATAAGAGATTGCACTAATAATCTGTCAAAATCCACTGAAATTGATTTAAGAATGGTTTCAGTTTTAACCCACAGGAAAAAAAATAAAGGAGTTAGTGAACTGTATTTCCCCGTGTGTATCCAAATCAAAGTGGCTTAAACACAGTCCATTTTATTGGCTGTTTGTCTTTTTATTGCATACTTCACTATGGTTATCGGCTGATGTGCGACTGCGCTATTTACAACTAGCTGGATACTGATACAGGTGAGGACAGATGGTGGAAACATACTAAAAATGCTTACATTTGTCTAATACACACCTACTGTGTCATTTAATCAATCTCAAAAAGAACCCAAAGCAACTTACTATCTTCGGGGAAACAGGGTTATTCTCATCTCATGCATGAAATAAATTGCTTGTTCTAAATGCAGTGAGAGATAGAAGTGGTTTTCTATCAGTGTGTTTTAATGAAAATCTATACACAGTGCAGATGTTAACTCAGAGCAAAACTTCAGCTTCACTTTGTTTTACTTACCATCAATTTCTATTTCACATTTAAGGTCATTACAAGACTGGAAAAGAGACATGAAAAGACTGAGTATTGAAAAATATTTCTTAAATCATTAGTTGTCATTTTAATGGTGTTAGACTTTAGCAAATTTAGGAGACATAACTAGTTAGCTTTACAGTGTCCAAATATTGTTAGTCTCAGAAGACCTCTCATTTGGAGCCTGCACTCTCCACTCAATTTACAAACTGGCCCTACTTTCTTAGGTTGATGATGTAACTGCCTTATTTGCAGTGTCATGGTCAGGATACAAATACAACGGGCTCTGTGATGAGTTTGCACTTGGAGGTGGCTGTATACTAGCCAGTCTTTCAGAGTTTCCTGGAGACTTCTCCCTCCACCTTGGACTTGTCTGCTCCTGTGACACTTCCCACACAGAGGGACATGGGGAGGCAAAATTCATGGCGGACTGTGAGAGGTAGTTTTCCTGAAGACCTTCTTGGAGGCACCTGTTTGAAAGCACTTCCTTTTCTTTGGAGTTTCGCCACTTCATCCTTCGATTCTGAAACCAAATTTTTACCTGTTTGCAAGTTAACAAGAGTTTATTAGCATTTTTTTCTTTAAATAACATTGCTTTAAATAACATGCTTGCTTTTTTTTTTTTTTAAGTTTCCATCCCTTAGTTTCATGTTCTTTCGTTATTTGATGTTATAGCAGATCCAGTTGAGCTGACTGATTGACACTAGCTGGGCATTTTTCAATTCCTATTTGCTACGGCCGAGCTAAATATTTGTCTTTGACTTTCCCTACCTCAAGCAAGTAATTATTTGGTGTAAACTGGAAAGATGAAAGACCAATGCTAGGGATTTTGCAGTTTCCTTCAGTATCATCTTTCTAGACAGATAAGAATTCTCAGTGTAAACTAGCACTGTCATTAACAAAATAGGTGATAATACTAGCATTTGGAAATGCTCTTTTTAAAAGAGGCTATAAGAGCTAAGACTATCCCATCTGCAAGCAAAGCTTGGTCATCATAAAGCTTTAAAATGACACAGAAGTTCCAATTAAAAGATATTTTATCTGTCTAAATACAGTTTTCCAAGGGGTTACCTAGAACCATGTGCTTCTGAAGTAAAATCCACTTTTTAGAAACTTTTATTGATGAAGCATGGGTGCTCAAAGACATTAATGAAATGTTGGGAAAAGCCTAGGGAAATAAGCGCTTAGGAACTGTTAGATTAAGAAAAGGAGTGAGCATTTGTGGAAGGGAATCCAATCAGATTATTCACATTATATTCTTTTTTTCTCTTAAATATCTGCATGAAGTTCTAGCATTCAGATACTTGATACAAAGGCAAAGGGAATACACCTGCAAAGGACTGAGAGTCACTGCCACAGCTGGCAGGAACAGCTACTCCAGTACAGTCAGATAACTGAACTAACCTTCATGGTTCACGGTTACATGGTTACATGATACTCTTCTTTTTATGAGAAAAAAAATAATTAGACATGGGTATCATCTATCCATATCAAAAAATTATTTTTCCTGTTGTGGTAGCTGTTATCTGAGTCTCACTCCATTATTTTCTTATTTCCCAGGGCTCTCTTAAATATCAAGAACGTAGAAGAAAATCTCAGTAAAAACAGCTGTGATATTAGGAATTTGACTATGTGCTAGGATTCTTTAGGAAGCTCACTCGTGAGTGCAATTGCACATTTTCATTGAACCAAAATAGTTTATCCTGCAGAGATGACAGCATCGTTCATACTGTTTATTTTATTGTTTATAGCTGGCTTGAGATGGAGTCAGAGTCATTCAGGTTGCAAGCAATCATAACATCTCATCTTCCATGGAAAATGAAGCCAATTCCAAAGTTAGATTTAACTGATTAGAGACTTGTCAAGTTCTGAAAATCTCCAAGAAAAAAAAAAAAAAGATGAGGGCTCTCATCACCATTCCCAGGTTTTTCTGCTCACCAGACAGCTCCTGCCATACATATCTTAAGCACATTTACTGCTGCCAAATGCAAAGAAATTCAACCACACTGTCAACTCTCACTCTCTTTCAGCCACACTCCAGAAATAGGTGTCTACTCTAGCACTTTCAAAATCCCCTGGATGGGCCCTGATACCTATCCCTGGGGAACACCACTCATGACCGGTTGCCAGCTGGATTTGATTCCATTCACCACCAATCTCTGGGTCTGGCCATCCAGCCAGTTTTTTACCCAGCAAAGAGTGTAACTATCCAGGTACACTCCATCTATCCAGGCCACGGGCTGCCAGCTTCTCCAGAATACTCTGGGAGACAGCACCAAAGGCTTTGCTGAAGTCTAGGCAAACTACATCAACAACCCTTCCCTCATCCACTATGCGGGTCATTCAATCATAGAAGAAGATGAGGCTGGTCAGGCAGGAGCTGCCTGTCATGAACCCACGCTACCTGGGCCTGATCCCTCAGTTGTCCTGCACCTGCCGTGTCATTGCACTCAAGATGATCTGTTCCACAATGTTCCCTGGTACTGAGGTCGCGCTGAAGCAGCTCAGGGCTCACTCTGTGCTGTTCAATTTTCCCCTTTCAAGGCCATTTTAAAAATTTTTCTTCAAAAGGATGAAAAGTTCCTGATTTTCTGTCTGTTTCCTGATTTCTGTTGATTTTCTGTCATTCCTTACCTGAGACTCCTTTAGGCCCAGGTTAATGGCCAGTTTCTTCCTGTCTGTTTTACTGATATACTTCTGCTTCTGAAACATTTTCTCCAAAGCCTTCCTCTGGTCTTCAGAAAAGACAGCTCTTCTTAATATACCTCTCCGGGCTTTGGAGTTAGACTCCTGGGTCAGAAGAGGCAGGACACTTTCCTCTCCTAGTGGAAATAAATGAGAGTTTCACATAATAACTAACACATATTAGAGAAATATTAAGTGCTGTTCATTAAAATGCTAGCAGACCACTGTCCCACTTTTGATTTGTTGGTGTTAGAAGTGTGTCGTAATGCTTCAGTCATGTTCATTAAGGGCTAAATCCTCTCTTGGATCTAGAGGTGTTGTCAGTGGTAAAGAGTCTCCCCTTGACATGGTAAAGAGTAAATCAGATGAGTTCATAGAGGAACATTAACACTGGCCTCATACTACTGTAAAATTCAAATACAAGGTGAAATGACTCTGCTTTCTTTAGCACATTATCATTGGGTAAACCACAGTAAGATCTCCTAGTTCATTTTCTTGTGTGAGATGCAGAACCAGATAAAAAGTGGTCTGTAACACTGATTCAGTGAATCTAAATAGGCTTTCTTTAGTTTTGTTTACTAATGAAAGGCTTTCAGAGTGAACTATTCCTCAGAAAATCCCTGTCCATTCACTTACTTACTCTGGAAACCACAGCAATTTCTTTATTACAGGATTTGGGGAGTACTTGAACTTATTCCTTTCACTCTAGTTTCTAATCCTTTGACATCCCATAGCAAGTCCTTAGTAAGGCAGATTTCAATGAATTTAATCATACCCACTTGATCTACACCTAGAGGAGAGCCTACCCTAGAAAATGACCTTAAATGTATGGGACAGAACTGCAGTGGAAAAGTGGAAGTACTCACATTGTCTTTTCACTGGTCTCACAATGAGCACATGAAAAATAAATCCAAATGAATGTTTTGCCTTCCTCATGCCCAGTAAATCCCAAAGACCTAGTGCTTTCTCATGCTCCCTCTCCCACAGATATGGTGTAATGGAAACCTCCAGTCCTAGTGAAGCTTGGCATGCCTCCAGCAGTCACAAGTTTCCCCAGATACTCACCCAGGGAGCAGTACCTGAGATTAGTTGAATCGGGCTTGTCATCAAGCATTAGAGGTGAAATTGCATGAGGCACTTACAATGAGCAGTCCTTTGATTCATGCCATACCATAAAGACAGACACCTATGATGTTTCCATGAGAGGGCAGCCACAAAGGTGGCTTTGGTTTGTGTCACTTGCAATTTGGACTTTAAAGGTGTAAGATGTCCTATTGATGACACCTTCCCACAAGCACCTGTGAAGACTGATGTCCCAGTTTAGAGCTACAGCAACTGCAAAGGTGTGCTGCTGTTCAATTTCTGCCAAGGATTTAATCATTTCCATATCAAAGCCAACGGCAAAACTCTTATCTAAACCAGATTTTTTAAAACATTGGACATTTCTTTCATGAAAAGGTCTATTCTAGTCAACCGTGAAAGTAGTGGAGATGAATTAAATACATTTGTTAAATAAATGCAGTGTTCTTGAAAACACTAATCGAATCCAGATGCAGTTTTCACAAACTGTTCCTTGCGGCTACACCACATTTCAAATGCTGTATATTATACATAAATACACAGGAGTACATGCATCTTTAAACAGCAGTAGAGAAAAAAACCCACACATACACAGAGGGCACTGTAGAACAGTGTAGGTACGACAATGAAAAATTAAAGTGTGTATATGTATGTCTTGCAAAGTTGACTTGTTCTACTTCCATGGCACATGTTCTACTTGTTTGATGTTATATACATTATCCATGTATCCCGCCTTCAAGTGTGACCAGCACAGGATGAATAATAATAGCTGAGCAAGTATATAGTGATCTTTTCCTAAAGATCACTGTCAAGCACTACTGTTTAGGAACTACTGCTTTTAACAGCTTCTACTAGACATGCCTTTTTAAATCTTTTCCACACCTTAAGAAACCATCTTTCGATTTGTCCCTTATAACAGTGTCTGGCAAAAAGTAATTATTTTGCTTTAAAATGTTAAGGTATTAAGAAGTATAAATTTATATGGATGTTTTTCAGTTTTCAAAGTAATGTTTGGAACCAGATACAAAAAACCATAACCTACTGGCTACTGTCCTCATATTTATCACACAGTGACTCTCCATCCAAACAAAAACAAACAATCTGCAGAACAAAAGTCAAAATGTCACAGCGGAGGTTTCTGTAAAGGGCCAGCTGGGTTCATCTTTCTCTGAGGAGCACATAGTTCCTTCAAGCCTCTCCCATCATGATCTGATCCTGCTCACAAAGCTGGCTGCAAACACCAGCCCTTCATCCTTACTTCTGCTTTATGCACATCTCTCTGGAGTACGGGGAATTTAGGTTCCTTTTTCCAGAGAGCCTCCAAGTCATTTCTGATGAATCATCAGCAGTTTTCAAGTGTGCTGGAAGGTACAGTATAACAGTGGAAGAGCTGGTACTTTCTCTCACAGGACAAGAGATACCAGTGAGCTTCACAGGGCTAGCCCTTGACACCCAGGATGAATTCCACAATGGAGTTGTCAACCCAGGACACAGGATGCCAGACTACGTGACCCCTTAAAATTTGTCTTGCCTGGCTGGTTGTTCACAGTCAATCAGCAAAGAAACAACCTCCTGCCTGCCTCCTGAGGTGCCAATTAATTCCTCTACAGGCAGCACGCAGGGTACAGCTTAACACTTGCATTAGAGTAATGTAGTAGTGAAGAATGTACACACTCTAAGGCACAAAACGTGACGATTCTAAAAGTCTAACTGAACAAAATTTAATCATAAACAGAACAATCACAAGCAGCAGAAAGCAACTGCTGGGTCATCCACCACGGAGTCAAAAAAATTGAGACTCATGTTTGAGATAACAAGTACTCTTCCACAGTTGAGTAGCCTAGATTTCAAGAACATCCCCATATTTCAAGATGTATTCTGACTCTGCACTCAAAAAGTACATTTCTGTTAGTCAGTTAAATGATTTTTCACTCATTCATTCACTACAACTCCACTGAAATGAAGTTAGTTTGTTACTTTGTTAGTGAGTTAGTTTGAAACCTGTTGCTGTGAGCATGCATCAAAAGACTTCATGTTCTACTGACATAAATGTGAATCTGTTACCAAACTTTTCCTATGTTGCCAGTTTATTTTTTGTGTGTGTGTTTGTTTTTTTTTTAAGACTTTTGTTTGTATCCTAGTATATAGTGACAAATGTCCCCCCTAATCTGTGCAACAAACTTCATCTGCCTTCATGGCAGAGACCACCTTGAAGGAGCAAGTAAAAGCTTTAGTCATGGTTTCCATTTTTTCATTTGAACTCAATACATTCTAGTTAAATGGACAATTAATAGGTCACTTCCAAAATAGTAGTGTATCAGTCCTGGTTAATAAACAATCCCCACAGTTGATAATAGGCCTATGTATTCAGCAAGTCCCTGTATACACTCAGCTCATCCACTAAATCCCTTTTCAGGTAGACAGGGTTATATGGGAAGATGAGCTAGAATGAGTCTATAAAAGTCAGTTTCATTCACTGCTTTATTTTTCAGTCAAGTGCTTTAAATGGTGTCCCGAAAATCTCTTGGAATGTGAGACAGGAGAAAAGACTGGCACATAGAGTATTGCTTTATGGCCATACAAAAGGGCAACTGACCCCTGCCCAGGCCTTTTCAATGTGAAATGGTTCCTAAAGTTCATCTGCACAGTGAAAAATTGTGGTGAGGTCGCGTGTGGATGAGTAAAGTGAAAGTGGTGATTGGTCATGGTGCTGTCAGCCATTGTGGGAGAGCCGGGGCCATGTAAAATGCTCTGTGGGAAAGTGTCAGCCCCCTAAAGAGGTGCTCAGAAACTTGCAGCTCATTAAACTGCCAGCATTTGCTGCCTCACTTGTCAAGAATCATTCAACTTAGCAACTGCTCCTCTGAAACGTTCATAAAACACATGCACGTAGTCAGGAAGGGTCTGAATGTAACTGTGATAAAAAATATACACTACAGCATGCATGAACTCCAGTTTCCATTTGGATCTGACAAAGGGTTTGTGCTTTTTCTCCTTTTTGAAAGACCAGAAGACGTGTCTTCTGTATGTTTCCGAGCCATAAACATGTAAAATTAAGAATATATGTTCTTAAAATACAACAGGGCATGCAAACTTCACAATCAAGGTTAAATTTAGATTTGAATGGCAATGTATGTCAGCTTTTAATCCTGGGTGCAAAGGGTACACTGGCAAAAATTCTCTTCAACATTTGTCTTCGTATTTTTATATTATAATTTTAAAAAAAGAAAAACAAATTAAACACATGCATGCATTTGTCTGCTCCAAAAAGAATGACTATTTTATTTAAATAATGCTAGAGCTTCCTGAATCATAATTTATCCCTGCCATCAAAACGCAGCATCCATTTTATGATCTTTCAGCTCTTCTTATTTGCAAATGTTTATTGACAGATTTTAAAGAGTTACTGATTTTTAAAAGAACCTTTTCTTGTAAATTGAAAACAAGGAGATTTCCTAGGTTAGCTCTGTCTGGGTGTCTCAATGCCATCAGAAATCTCTCACAATTGCCCAGTGTACTTAAGTTTGATAAATCTTTGGAAACCTTATGAATAGGATTGCTGTGATTTTACTAAGGAATTAGCCGCTGCCATTGCATCACCAATTAGCTTTCCAGAACACATTAAATCCTGCTGCTTTGGTTTACAGAATAACTCAAGCATTACTGATGAAGCATAAAAACTTACTTGGAAAAGCAGTGGGGGATGCAGGGTGCTGACAGGACCCACCGCAGCATGCTGAGTAGAATGGCGGGGCTCGGAGAAAAAAGTGTTTGGAAAGAGCTGCAAAGAAAGCATAGATCTAATTGATTACCCATTGAGCGTGGGTGATATTCATAACAACAGTCACCCAAAAAGTCAGTGTGTAAAGTCCTGCCCCACAAGTTCTTTTTCCTTTTTCTCAAGATGGTGGTATTTTTTTAAGGCAAACAGTGATAAACCAACGATCGTTCTTTAATTTTAACAAGGTTAGTTCGTATCTATTGCTTAAATATAATAAGCAAAACTCTCACAATATTTCTCTTATAAGAACGAAACTCTGCAGATGTGAAATTTACATTTCAAATTGCTGTAATCCTAAATATTAGGACTGAACACGTTGTTTTAATAATGCAGTCAAAGTAATTAGTATAATGCATCTCACAAAGTTACATTAAATAACTCTAATAGGCATAATATCTCAGGAAAAAAAAAAACCAAACAAACAGGGATTCTAAAAGTGAATCCCCAACTCTCCTGCTCATACTGTATTCATACCAATAAAGACTTTGATAACTAAGAAAACTTAAAGAATAAAATGCAATGAGACAACTCAGGTGAAAACTACAGGGCCTGATTCTGCCTCCCTAATATTGAGCTCCATCTTTCTGAAAAGTGTTCTAAATTTAAATAAGCCACCTGCTGAAGACAGCTCTGCTTAATACAATAAAACTGCAAAATTGAATTTTTTTAATACATGTATTAAATTAATTTAATGTATTTATGTATTTAATGTATTTATTAATTTAATGTATTAATGTATTTTTTTCTTAATACACAGAATTAGGTAATATTTGGTAATGTTTCTACAGAATTTTTTGAAACAACGAACCGCAAGACCCCTATGCTTAAAAAGTAACTCCATATCCAGATAAAAAATTAAGGAATCAGCAACAAGGAAGCAAGAAAAATAAATGTATATAAGCAGCATTCTTCATTTTTTAAGGTTTTTCAACTGAATTTAAAATGAAAGATCACAGAAAATTAGGTTCTTGAGTACATATTAGGGTGTAAGTTTTCTGACATACAAATCTGCTATCTTCCAAAGCAATGAAAGATTGTTGTAGAAGCCCAAGTCCAAACATTTTGAAAATACTTACCTCTTTTCATCTGAATTCATACAAGCTTAGGTGAAAATGTCTTTCTAATGATTAAGTGTTTTATTACTGCAGCTTTTCATCAACACTGCTGTTTCTAATGAAATAAAAATATATTCCATGATGAACTAATTGCCTACATTTGCACACTTGCAAAAAGGGTAATGATTTATGCCAGGCATTAGTATTCTAAAGCTTCTCTTTCTCATGAGACCATCAAATATGGAACTGTGTCCCATAGAGCTTCAAAGAGTCAAGAATGTGCAGCCATTTTATCTGTCTATGTATCTAAGGGGCTTCAGTGCAGCAGGAGGGGTACATAATGTGGACAGTAACTAAAGAAGCACAGAAGATGGAAAAGGAAAAGACCTACCAGATAATCTCAGCATTCCTCCTGAACATGAGAGTTTGTCCTTTGGAATACTTCCTATCTGCTGCTAATGTGTTATCTGCTACAGTTTTGAAGCTCTCACATGTATCAAATATTCCTTGACTTCTATACTGTCTTATTCTTACTAATCAAAGCTTAAGCATCTTATTCATGTCATACGATTTTTGTCATGTTGGCCTGTCTTTGATTTTCCCTTTTATGGGTCCTTAATTCTCTCCAGTTGCTTGTTCTTTTTTGCTAATGTGGTACTAATCATGACATAGATGAGTACCAGGAGACAGCTGGATAAATAAGGAATGAATGACCTACTGCTTCAGATAGATACCATTCTCCTTTAAATAAAGAGAGAAATATGAAAAGGTCTGTTTCCTCCATTCAGTAAACTTCTCAACAAATGAGCTACAAGCATAAAGGCCAGGAAATGGATCAGTATCAAAGATACTGATGTACAACTTGCTTAAGAAAACCTCAAACTAGCCACACACTTCTACTATGCTGTGGCAATGATTTAATGTATAGCGAGCAGCAGAAAGCTCCAAGCAGAGATCTGCTCAAGATGATGAAAATCATTCTTTTGTCTTTCTTGGCCATTTTACTTCATTTCCTAGCCAACTCCTGCTTTTTTTTTTGTTTGCATGTGTGAGTGAGTGTGTTTGGGGTGAGGGGGGATTTCTTTGGCTGCATGGCACATATTCCTCCAAGGGAAGGTGCCTGACTAAGTAGTAACATCAAAATGATATCTTCATACAACACCAAACCAAGTGGTTCCTGAGACTGTTTCTCAAGGTTGATTCACTATAGATCCTGTGGAATAGCCAATGACAGTATTTCTCCTAATCCCATAGCCAATGCACATGTCTAGTTTATAAACTTCTGTAATGTGCTTCAACCACACTGATCCGTGTGTAAATTGTTAGATCTATCTAACCACACTGCCAGGTCATGTCTTCCAAAGCAGCTGCTCTAGGAGCAAAGTGAAGGAGTTACAAAGTTACAATGGTAAAGAATGTGACACAATACAATTATAAATTAAACTTTACTCTGGGAGCTGTATGGAGAGAAAAACATTCAAGCTTCACCTTAATACATATGGAAAACATTGCCTATATTTTCGTTTTGTGGTCACATGTATCATGGCCACTCTACTGATATTTGGGGTCAAGCAACTCAAAGCAAACATTATTTGGCTGAAAATTGCTGAAATGTCAGAATATTAGTTCTGTATTTATTGGCCAGAAGGAAGCATACAGTAACAAAACAGTAGCTTTTGTTTCAAGTCATGTTAACATTAACCATGGGCTAAATCCTAATAATTCATATGTGAGATACCTAATTCTCTTTCTGCTTAGCATTCCCATTTCATTAAAACAGACATTGTGTAAATCCAAGCAGTTCACAAAAGAGAGGCACTTCAAAATATACTCCCCACTATGAAGATATTCTGAATTCAAAAACCTTCCTGTGCCATTTTGAAAGTAAGGTTCCTAAGTCCAATCCAACTGAAATAAATAGGTAATTTTAAAATGTTTTATTATTAAATACATTGTTTTTCCTAATTCAAGCATTACAAAATGACTTTAGAAATGGTACAGGCCACTAGTAATGGTACAGGCCACCAGCAGGCAACAGGGAAGAGGCAAAAGACAAACTGCTATGAGGAAAAGCAAACCTAAGGTGCACTTCTGGTATTATCTGCACAGGCCTTCATCACTACATGTTTTTTCTTCACATTTAGCTGGTAAAAACATGGTATAATCTTGTGACAAGAGCAGAACCACCTCAGAAAGATGATTCTGAGAGCAGAACAGAGCCAGCAACAAGCAATGTTGAGCACAAGAATGAAGTCAGATCTCAAGCTGTGTGAATACAGCCCTGACACTCTCCAACTATTGCTAAGCCATCGTGAACTGCTTTCTCCAGTGGCTCTAGCCCTGATAGGAAAATTTAATATGTAAGCATTAAAATGATTCCATTTCATCTGAGAAACCTGAACAGTTTCTGCCTATGAAGTGGGTAAAAGTAAACTGCAATTTCCCACATACATTCATTCCTGGCAATGACTAAAGCAGGCAAGAAAGCTGCATGTCCTGAGGAGCTCCCTGCAGCCAGTCCAGCAGTGACTGGGCAGATCAGAGGTCCAGCTGAGCCACACAGCACTGTCTGCTCCATAACACAAGCCATGGGCCTCAGAAATGGGCCTCAGCTCTGATCCTGTGGTCACTGCATTCAGTCTGGTGCTATGGCAGAGGTTGTGCAGCCTCAAGCCCTTGGGGGCATCTAGCCATAGAAGAAAGCGGCAGCTGCTGCCATCTCCTACTATAGGAGGTCAGCACCACACAGATGTGTCAAAATGTACTTCAAGAACTCGTGATGCAGCATACCTCAGAGCTGTCCATCCCTGCTTATTTGCTTTGCATCCTCTCCTGTAAAACCAGGCAGTGTGAATGCTCAGAGGAAGCTGAGACACACAGGCAGACCTGAGTGAATACACAGATCAGTTTTAAAACCCCAGCAAATATTCACATAAATGGTTTTGTAGTTCCAAAAATGTATCTGGGAATTCTGCATGAAAAGTTAATATATGAGAAGCAGGCTAGCATTTTTATAATGGGTCTCAATGGGGCTTTCAAAACTCAGCAGAGTAGTCACTCCAGAAAGGCTATGTCACCAAATAGGGCTTGAAATGTGCTAACAGAATGATTATTGGTTCTTTGCACCTATAGCAATGTAGTAGATGACAGAGTCACACTGAGGATTAGCTCAGATCACATAATACCCACCAGTTTTCAGAGGTATCATTTGCATGCCTTATTATTAGGGCACGCTTTGTACATGATTGTTTTCTCTGCTTAAGGAAGAAGCATGCAGAACTCATTGCTAGGACAACATCCACAGCCCACACCAGTGCCAAAGCCTACATAGCCCTCTCCGCATCAGCAGTAAAGGCTCCTTCTACCTTCTCCATGCTTTGTAAATGCTTTTGCTTCATCTCCTTCCTTGCTTGGCTTCTGCCAGACACCTCAAAGGCTTGTGCACAACCATGGCACTTTCTGCTTACTAGTTCTCTTTTCTCTTCTCATTTTAAGGGCGTTATTTTCACTTCTCTGTCCAAAAGTTTGGTGTGCTAAGCTCCTTCGCTAGGCATCTTGTACAGTCAGTGAGAAGAGATAAGCAGTGTATATAAAGACTCAGCCCCTTAAAACAGATGTCTAAGAAGATAAGTTGTGTCATTCTCTGGAGGTGTCTCTCTGTATCAACTATGGATTAGACAAGGTACATGGACAACTAGATTAGACAAGACCCCTTTATTTTTAAGCAGTTGAAGTAAGATGGCATTCTTATCTTGTCAAAATGATACCACCCACTCCACAGACATAAGCAGGATGGAAAAAATGATAAACTTCAGTCATAAAGAATTATTTTCTTTGATTATCAACACATTTTAAAAATAATTTCCTCAAACAAGGTGAAATTAGGCTCACATGCTGCAATAGGGCAGTTCACCCATTTTCATCATTGCAGCCCCAACTCAAAATCTTACCATTGCCTAAAATGCATCATTTACTCCAGCAGTATGCACTGAAGAGCTGCAATTCTTACCTGAGCCTCCTCCTGCTTTACATACTTGAAATTGTTTTCATTCTGAAAAGACTTCATTCCCAGTTCTGTTATAGGTTATGACTGACCACAAAGATAGAAATATTAGAGTACAAATTGGTTTGCAAAGCTGAATTAAGCAAGAATGATGTTCTATGAAACACTTTCAGTGGCAAATAGAGGCAAAGGGCTTGCCTTCCCAAATCACGGGGTACTTAGGAATGTAAAAAATGATAGCACAATGAAGCTCAATGAAATTCTCCACTTGTGTAGAGAACATGCCTGATGAGATTAATCCTTATCACTTCATTTGTTTTCTAAAAACCCAATGAATACAGTATGAAATTTCAGAAGACCTCAATCTGAAGTATAAAGGGCACTTTATAGAAATGAATTTGCAAACTGTAGGCATGATTAATTCCACAGTTTTCCTTTAGCAAATAACTGCCTTTCTGCAGACCCTTACTACTGCTCTTCGCAATGCTACCCTGAGATCTCCTGGCAGTACTCAAATCCAGACCCAAATCAGTTCCAGACTGGAGCTTTGTCCTTTCTCAGTGCCACCAGAGGCCACAGCACTGCCCCACTACAGCTGTCACTGTGCCCAGACTGTTGTACTGGGTGAGAGTAGGGCTGGCACAGGTCTAGCTCTGGCAGCCTTACACAGAGGGAAGAGGCAGCTTTAAGAGCCACTGTGCAGCCACGCTTTTCAGGCATGCTGGGCACCTCAAACCAATTCTATCAAATGGCTCAAAGAGTTATCTGGAAGCAGGAAAAGATGCTATAGTTTAAATTATCTCCTGGTTGTCATAAAGAAGCATGGAATTTTACTAAAAGCAGGGGAAAAAAAAGCAAAACAGTTATTATAGGACAGAATTACTGTCTTTATACTGAGGAGAAAAAACAGACACAAGCCCAAAGAGTCAGCCTGCAGATGATGACTTGGTTTTACTTCCCTGCAATGTTACCAGTTTCCTGTATTACCTTAGGCAAGTTACTTCCTTTGCTCCAGCTGTTCCTCTAACAGTAGAGGTCTCTCATACCTCTCTGACACGTTGCCACGATAAATGCATTCAGATGTAAAGTACTCAAATGTTGGAGAAACAGAAGCCACATCCATATTGTAGAACAGATGTTTATTAGTGTAAGTTCATTTTATGTTTATGATTTACTTATTCTAATTGCTTTCTTTCATGTTACATGTATTCTTTTCTACTGTATTCTGATGCCTTAGGCAAAAATCCCATAAGCTTAATTTTTCAGAAAGTTTTACGATGGAAGTATCTCACTACTATGTTTATTTTATTTGTTTCATTGTGCTTTTCAGTTTCTTTTCTCTGTTAATCTATCAAAACACCAAGATTAAAGTAGAAAGCCAAATTATTGCCATGTATGTACTAGTGAGCATACTCAGGTTGCAAAGAACTTACTGGCATTTTCCTTCCAGGGCATGTTACTTTGAGAAAATAAGAGATTTTGTGGAAAATAATTTCAGGTAGCAGAGAACAGCACTCTTCTCACTGAGGTCACTCCAACTTGGTGCCAACCAGTACTTGTGGAAATCAAGTCACAAGGAAAGAAATGTAAAGCACCTCTTTAAAGTCCGCGGTACAGCCAGCTGCATCTCATCACACTCCAGATAATTTTCCTATGCCAGAAAATGCTGAGAGAAACCCTCAAGTCTTCCATTACAACCAGAAGGTGATGATAGCACTGCACTACAAGGATAAGAACCAAATCAGAGATTAGCAAGCAAAAAATTGCAGACTTCCTTCCTACTCAGATTCTACTAGATTGCTCAAAATCTCTACTTTAAGCTTCCCTCACCTTTCATGGTTGAAGTATAAGCTGCATAGCTGGAATACATTTCACTGGGAAAAGCTGGTTTACAACAGTGCAACTTTTAAATGTTTCAACATAGGAAAAACACTCTTCTGGTGTCCAGGGCTTAAAAAGCAGAACCAGGCTCTACACTGTGTGTACAGCCCTGGTTACAGTGTATGCATAGTTCTCACAAAGCCCAAAGTAGGATTTAATTTCTATTTTATTAAGGCAAAAGGTGTTAAAAAATAAGAACCAGGCCCACAGCACTGACACTGGGAGAAATTCAGTTCAGTTAGACAGAAACAGTGATTCGTGTGCGCTGAAGCTGGTGGGCCCAGTTCAACATTCTATCACAACACAGTGGCTTGAGAGAAAGGCGCAAGGCAGCGTGCAGGAATCCAGAGTAGCTATAAGGCAAACATGGCAGAAAGCAAGTTGATCATCTGCCATTACCATTCCTTCTGCTTTTCCTTCCAAAACTCTGTGAAACATGCTGGTTCATGTGGTTGTACTCTTAAGTAAAAATAAGCTAAGTTTTAAAAACCTTTCTTTTGATTTCATTTATAAAAATCAATGCAATGCTGGAAAGTGATTTTAAAATTTACAGAGAGCATAATGATACTTCTTATCAAATTTTCTTTCACTCATTAGACGATGCATCTTACAGGGTAATACTTCATGAGTACCTGTTCAGTTTTTCCTTAAGGATTATTTTTAGGGGAACTCAAAATACATAAGCAGATAAATACTTGAATGATAAAACTGTATCAGTACAAGTCTGTAAGTAATAGCAACGAAAATTTGCTAATAAAACTGCTGCTGAAGATTTACAAAGGGAAAAGCCACCACGAGTAGATGGCACCCGTCAACAGTCCAATCCCAGGCAGACTCCATGGCATACATGGATGAGAGCTTTCCAGTTTGCAGAAAGAATACAGGATTCTTATTCCTTGGCACTTTTACATAAGGATAAATAATATCCCAAAACAGTGTGCTTTGCTCATGTCATTCCCCAACGGGTGCTATGGGTAAATGTTGGTTTTGGATCTGTAAAAAGTTTCAGCGTGTCAAGTTGGGTCTCTGCTGTGATTTGCTATGCCTTGCTTTCTGGAAAATTTTGGTGGCCACACCAGAATTTGGGACTACACGAGCAATACAGATCACTGATCCCAAATAAATTATGATACTTTTCAGTCTTTTTTTTTTTTCCCCTCACTTTAAACACCTTAAATTGTGCAAATCTAGTTTGTTAGAGCACTTTCAGTCCCTACATAGTATGTAAATACTTGCCAGCTCAGAAAAATTAAAAAAGCAATTTGCTTTATTCTCTTCTGTAATCTTTAATAAGAACTCAGACTAAAATGCTGTATTGATTTGGAAGTCCAAACTGAAATGTGTTTACTCCTCCAAACAAATATTTAGTCCAGATAAAAATCTCTAAATTAAAAAGCCACCTCGCCTGCCATACAAAACTTGCTTTAGCAGGGGGTTGGACTCAATGATCTCTAAAGTTCCCTTCCAACTCCTACAATTCTGTGATTTACCTAATAAAAGCTCCTTAGTTAACATACCTTCTGTAAACACTGAAAATCCATACTCTGACAAAAAGAAGCCTTTTTCCCTACCAGAGTACAAGCAAGGAACTACAGCCTTACTCAGAATTACCACTGACCAGTGTGTGAACAGTTCCTGTAGAGTATGCCGATGCTAGAGAGAAGAAACTCCTTAGAAACTACAAAATCTGGCTCAGCAGAGCTGTTCTGATTTAACTGATATTGACAAGTACTCAGAATCCTAAGATTGCCCATCACCCTAAAAGATATCAGTCAGAGCAGCATCTACTACCCTTGCTAAAACCTGTACATCCCTGTCGTACATCTACGTTAGCAGACTTTCTGAATGAGTGCTTAATGCACGAGGAAATCTAGTATTTCTCACTGCTCAAATGTAAGCGTTTGGTGCTTTACCCCAACGTTCCCTATGAAACTAGTTACGGGCTAGCAAAAAATATAGGGTCATTACTAGGAAGGCTCGACCATGCTGCACTTTGCTAAGTTCACAGGTACCCATGTAGGTCGATGAAAGCAAACAAACTCTGGAAGCAAGCACTTCAAAATTCAACATTAAGTAACGTGTGAGAGTGCTGGGGGATCTGCTGTCCTACTTCTATGTGTGCTTTGTACATAGAAAAGCAGCACTGGCTCTACAACTTAAAAATAAATAAATAAATAAGAATAAAGAAAAGGAATGTGCAGCTAATTGCAGGGGGATGGGGTTTGTCCTCTATCCTGTCTTGGGAAACGCAAATATATGTTTCAATAACTGAAATGCTTAAGACACGCTCACATCACCAAGGCCCGGAAATGCTAAAGGCACAAAAAATGTTTTGGATTTTGCAGAACACTTTGTAGGATTTAATTAAAATAAAAGTATACTCGGGAAAGAAAATAATTTTTAACAACTCCGGTTCTACATGGAGCCACTCGTTTCACACCTGAAATCCTCAGCTCAACAGTCAGGCTTCCGTCTGTCTTATTTTAGGCACATTTAAGACCGAATGATCACATATAAAAATTCCAAACACACCACAGAACGCTGAAATAAATTGATACATTCGAACATAAAGGGCACATCCATGGCTGAATTTTAGGGATTTTGTAATCCAGCCCCAACCAGCTTAACGACTGACAGAAACTCTCACTCCTAAATATGCTTTACAGCGGTTCCGTTCAGGCAAAACACACGCGGCGCATTAGGAAATAAACTTGGCTCCGAAACATCGCGTCGGCCCGCTCTGAGGGCGGCAGTGCCGCCCGGCTTCCCCGCCACCGAGCGCGGGGCTCTCGGACCGCTTCGGGCCGTACGGAGCTGCGAAAAAAGCAATTCGAGCCACTCCCACGGCCAGCAGCGACGCTCCGCCGCGCTCGCTCCATCCGCAGGTGCGCGGCTCCGCGAAGTTCAAAGCCGTGGATGGCGAGAGCCTGGCCGCGGTCCGGCCGCCCCGCCCGCTTCCCCGTCCCCGCGCTCACCTGTGGCCGCCGGCGGGAAGACGCCGCCTCTGTCCGCCGCCGGAGCCCGCGCTGGTAGGCGGCCGCCGTCCGCCGCCGAGGGGTTAAGCACTTGGAAAGCCCATCTGGTCGGATAGGGACCCCCCGAGGGGCTGATTTGTTCCGCCGCGGGGCACAGCTTGAGGGGGACGGGGCTGGCGGGGAGGGGACGGAGCTGGGCAGGGCTCTGCGGTGCGCCGGCCCGCAGCAAGTTCTCGATGAGGAAACTTTTGCCCAGGCTGCCGAAGCCCGGCGCCGCCGGCAGGTTGAGGAGCGCCGAGGAGCCCACCAGGTCCCAGTACAGCGCACTGGGCAGCATAGCGAGGGCCGCCCGGCCCTGCCCGGCCCGGCGCCGCGGCCCCTCACTGGGCTGGGACGGGGCGCCGGGCTGCGGGGCCGGGAGGGCTGCGGTGAGCGGAGCGCTCGGGGGAGGCACGCCGCGCCTCTCCGCCGGGCTGGAAGGTGTGTCCAAGCGCATTCATTATGTCAGCCGGGCCGGGGAGTGATGGACGCGGCCAACAATGCCGCCCGGCCCGGCAGCCCCTCGGGAAGGGGGGCAGGGCGGGGAGCGGTGCGGCCGCGTCCTCGCGCGGGGGTGGCTGCCCCCTGCTACCCGCCGCCATGTCACCCCTCAGGGCGCCCCCGGCGTCCCGACATGGCGGCGGGCCCGCGGCTGCCGGCCAACCTGTGCCGAGGGGACAGGGGGGAGCGCGGCCCCGGGCCCGGGCGGGGGAAGGTGGCCGCGGTGCTGACCGCAGCGCTGCGGCCGGATCGGCCGACCTCCTGATCTCATGAGGTAATAGGAAGACGGTCATTAGCTCACTCCCTCTGGGTATTTCGATTTGCTTTTTCAATATATTTTTGATGCCCCCCCCGCCCCCTCCCCGCTGGATTTTTAACATTTGTCTCAATAAATCTGATTAAGATCAGCACAGTGCTGTTAATCATATTTTCCCGAAGATGTGGGACGATGGTTTCTGTAGGCATAAACATCTTTTGGCAGGAATGGCTCTGTTTCTACTTGTGTATCTTCCTCTTATTTATTTACCTAAAAAACATGTACCACGGCAGAGATGTATCATTTTCCAGTGAAAACACACATGTGGGAAGTCAAAATTGGATGCTGTTCCCAAAGGCTTGGAGTTGTCTTCCTCTTTTGCAGAGAAATGCTTTTATTTCAAGCAGGTGCTAACTCGCTTCATCTCAGGGATATTCTCTGCAGAACCTTCTGAAGCAGATCTGTCCCTTGTTATTGTATAGCAGTAGCCTTGCACATTGTAACAGGGTGGTTCTGGTGGCTGCAGCCAGCTGGAGAAGTGGAACTCTATCTTTAGACATCAGATGGGAAGGATGGTTCAACTCTGGTGAGACATCACCTTCGGTGCTGTGTCCAGATGTGGCATTCTCAATATGGGAGAGATGTGGACCTGTTGCATCATTTCCAGAGGAGGGCCAGAGAAGTGATTTGAGAGATGGAGCACCTCCCTTACGAGGACACGCTGAGAGAGAAGGTTCCGGGGAGACCTAATAACAGCCTTTCAGTAGCTAAAAGGGGAGGCTATATGAAAGTTAGGGACAGACTCTTTAGCAGGGTCTGTTGTGATAGGACAAGAGTTTCAAACTAAAAGAGGGGAGATTTAGATTGGATATAAGGAAGAAGTTTTTTACAATAACGGTGGTTAGGCATGGGAACAGGTTGCCCCCGGAAGTGATGGATGCCCCATCCCTTGAGGCATTCAAGGTCAAGCTGAACATTGCTCTGAGCAACGTGATCTAGCTGTGAGTGTCCTTGTTCACTGAAGTGGAGTTGGACTAGATGACCTGTAAGAGTCCCATCTAGAACAATTCTATTATTCTATCATTGACAGATTCAATCACAGATTGAACTACTGTGATGCCAGGTGATAACTTGTGAGTTGTGAATTCATCACTCAGCCCAGGCCTCCCCTCATGTCCTTGGGTAGATTGGTCCTGCCAGAATTTGAGCATTTCCTCCATCAGTACCATGACAGTGGTATCTGTGATGAACATGATAGAGTTGCTCTATGCCAGAGGTGCATGGAGATGGAGTATCATCTTCTGTCTTCAGCAGTGGCTGTAAGTATGAGGAAGAATAAGAACAAAAAACACATATAGTTCCCTTGCTGTGAATGTTCTCAGCTCAAGCTTAAGCACTTACATTTGCAGATCTGAAGGTCATCATCTTTGTGAGGTCTGGATATTAATGCAAGTACTTTACCTGCGTGTACTTTGTGACTGGAGTTGCCTCTTGCTATGGAAAAGGACAGATTCTAGCCCAGTGCAGCCAACAGCATATTCAAAGCAAATATGTAACATTGTAATATTAAGATACAGGGATATGTATTTACCGTGTTCCTAAGAGAAAGAATCAAGTCCTCGCAGGAGAGCACTTGTTTTCGAACTTTTCAAGTAGCTGCTGTGTTAATTACGTCTCATAAATTTATTCACAGTTAAGGATTTTTTCTGTCTTTCCTTTCACTGACCAAATTCTCACAGAGTTCCCAAGGGCCTGAGACACTGGGAACCATAACTCAGCACTTAGGAAAGTGCAGTTAGTCCATCCAGCTGTGCTGCAAGAATAAAAGGTATTCACCAAGCAAAATATGGTTGTTAATGACAGAAGCCTTCAGTGATGGGCTCAGGATTTGGTTTCCTCTGAAGCAATTTCTCATGCCAAAGTCACTACTATTGTGTTAATCTCAGCTGTGTAGTTTGGCCTGATTAACACTTTGCACATTTCCGTGAAATAGAAGGACAACACTTGTAGAATTTGACAACAGCTCTGCTTAGTGGAAGAGAGTGATCAATTTCCACACAATCAGTTAATAATTCATGTCAGGTTTTGTCTAGTTCCAAGGTGCAACTGAGTCATTGTGATGAATTTAAGCAGTTCCCTTCTCTCCCGCCTCTTATTCTGGTTCCACAGCTGTATCACAGAATCACAGAATGGCCCGTGTTGGAAGGGGCCTCAAGGATTATGAATCTCCAACCCCCCCACCACAGGCAGGGCCGCAGAATGCTGAAATGGCCCTTCCAAGTTGCAAATAATACAGTCAAATAAAAAATTATTTTTTTCAAGAGATTCCCAAGGGAGAAGTAAAACCAGCTGAGATAGCTTAAGTGAGGGTGGTAGCATAGAACTGGCTGAATTAACTCCTTAAACGAGGGAAGCCTCTGAGCATTTTGCCCTGGGGCACAGCTCTGTAGCCCTGCTGAGCAGCAGTTATGAATTCTCTGTGTCCTCAGGGTATGCGAGAAAAAGGTACAGTCAGGCCCAAGAGCTATTATCTGTCCAAAGCTGGAGAGATCAGTGCAAAAAAGTTCAGATTACTCATTCAAACCTGAACTAATATGGGTGTAAAAAACAGGTGGTATCCTTAAATCGAGGTCCTTTTCAGTGAATACAGCCTGGATATCTGTGACAAGGAGATCCTTTGCCAGGGAGCTGGAAAGTGCGTGCTTTTTACCTGGGTACATTCAGCAAGTAGAGGTGGTATTCTCATTTCATTTGGTCCAGCAAATTTGGAAGGTATTTAGGCTATTTGAATTTTGCCAATCTATTAAATTACTTTTGCTTTAACCAGATTCAATCAGAAGTTTTCCTTAACTGGATAGTCTAGCTTGTTTTGAGGAGGCTGGAAAATGTTAAGATACACTTCTCAGGTTGCAGAACCTTACGGGTATGAACATGCACGAAATGCCCAGCACTCTGTTATGCCTTTCTCACTGTAAATCCAGGGTACAGCCAAGGCATAGTATTTAATGTATTGAGCACAAAGTCCATGCAACCAAATCAAAGTGTCCCCCATTATATTTTTTCTGCTCTTTCTCAGGTGACATTTCCAGCCTTGAGCCAGCGAGTTTCTCCCTTGCGCCTCCTTCTCAGCCCCAACTCATGTTAAGCTGAGCTTTCATACTGTCCTTTCAGTCGCTTAACTGGATGCATGTATATTAGCAGTCAGATGCTCCTTTTAACTTTCTTTCCAGTAATTTCTTACTGGTTTGCTGGCATGTTTGACTTGCTTCTAAAACTGCCAAGTATATGACTAGTCAATAAGCTGCAGCAATCAACCACAAAATCCAAAGAAACAATTCTTTATTCATTTCCTTATTTTACACTCTACCAGATTCAGTCAACATTCACTTTTTTTTTTTCTTTTTCTTTTTTTTGTCATATTTACATAGATTTAATTTTCTTGCAAGCCCTATTTAACAAGGAGAATGTTCTTGGCTAAGACGCTTGCTGAAGGCTTAAGCTGCTGAGGCATAGGTTTCAGTGCCAGCGAGTTACTCCAATGTACTCAAAGGATGCTCTTTTATTTTACTACTTAAACTATGTTGTAAACAAGCAACATGGTTATCTCAGGAGAAGATGCACTTTCCAGGACCTTGTGACAGTAGCAGCTGAGAAGCCTTGGAATTCAAAAGAATCATGCAAATAGGGAAAGTCCTACCTACTCTGAGTCAAACTCACACTGCTCTTTTATGCTCTTTTATGACTGAGTTTTCTGAAATGCGCCTACAGCCAGAGTGGATAAAATGTCTGAGGCTGATTTAAGAAGAGAAATAAGTCATTCAGGTGTTCTTTACATTCTATTTAATTCAGATACACAGAAACTTTAGCACACCTGCTACTTGTAGGTTTGAAGACTTCATGTGGTGTGAGCCGTCTGCCTCTGTGCTTTCAATGTTCCTCCTTGGCAGCCTGAGATACTGTGATTGTATTAGTGCCATTTCATTCCATATAGCCAAGAACAGGGATCTTGATACAGAAACAGACACACACTTGCAGGAGACAGAGATGAGGTAATTCTAATGCTCTGTTTGCTTGGGCATGCCAAAGGCAGCTCTACGCAGTCGTAATTTTACTGGATTCCTTATATGCCACTTTAGAGACATCTATTTTAAACCAGTTATTAACGATTTCCAACTTAGCTTTTCCAGTAAAAATACTGCCATATGCTCTCTACTTTTTTGCTTGCAAGCTTTGGAGTGACATATTCCAGCCAGAGGAAGTGTGAAGCCTGCAAGAGAATACACAGGCTTCCTGGGATTGATCCTGAAATTCTTACTAAATGCCTTGGGCATAAAGATCAGAATTCACTTCTCGTAACATAATTATCTGCCGTTTTGTAAGTGAGATGTATTTTCCACACTTAGAAATAGATGTCCCATATTGTTTTGTCTAACCTAAGCATGGTAGACATCAGTACAGAAAAGTGCATTCTGCAAAATAGTATCAGGCTTGCCAAGCACAGGCTAGGCTGTGATATCAGTGCAGAGCTGCTATCAGCTTTT